AAGCGCAAGGTTTTCTATAAGGGAGAACGCGAACCTCTGGGGAGGGGAGAGGGGAAAGGGGCTCCAGCCCCAGGGACGGAAATGATTAAATTAGTACTAGCGACAAAACAAAAGAGGGGAAGTCTTACTGTTCCTGAAAAAACAGCTTTAAAAGCGGCTACGATATGAAACTCTCTTGAGGTCTCTTCTGGCTAATGGGTAGCGCTGGACCACGCTGGAACACACGGTGTAGAGAACAAGCAAAGATAGCCCACGGGTAACTTTGGGTGGCAAAAACCCGTAGGGGAAAATCCTGCGCCATGCACAGCGGAACACGTGTACATTTGGCGGGATGCACGGGAATTACAAGGGGATCATATGGAGACACACGTAATATTAAAGTAAATACTTAGGGACCCACGGTTTCAAAACTATTAGGGACGTTCGCGCGAAAATTTTCAAACATTGATTTTTTTCTGAGACTTTTACCTCTGTAAGATGATGAGTTAGTTATGTCAGAAATGTAAAACAAAAATCACCGACTTCGTTTTGGAGAGAAAATGCCCGGAAGAACACCCTAAATCTGAAAAAAATCGGGCTTCGTTTGCGAATAAGGCCACAGTGCCTGTAAGCCCCAAAATATTGCAATTAGATCTTTGAAGTGAAATGTTCTCTGCCAAATATTTTTTAAGTTGACCTATTAAGTGAATTTAGTCAACTGGTGAGGTTGCTTAAAGAACAAGTTCGCATTTAGTGACCATAGTTTCACGCGCCTTGCAGCCGCAGGATTGCAGGATTCGATGTCTCACATTGATTTTTTTGTTCATTTTACGACAATGAGGAGATAATTGTAAATAAAGTCGGTTTCTGGAAAGAAAAGTAGGGGTCACCGAACGCCCAAGATCGTTAAATCCAGGCAAAGCTATAACAATGGCCATTTGCCCTATCATTGTTCATTTTATTACTTAGCGAGCGCTCTTATGCATGGCGTGGCGTGTGAATTTGCTTGCGTAGTAAGGATGCAGTTTCAGTTAAGTTTTTTTTATTATTGCACACTATTTACAGAAAAACAACTTAACATAAGATGATTTACAATAATACAGGAAAGAAAAACAGATAGAAATTAACCAGAAGAAAGTTTAGTTGTGTACAGTGACCAAAGTAGCCAATGAGCTTTCAAAGTAGCCAATGAGCTTTCGAGATGCGCAGAAACAATTAGCGCGAACGTCCTTAAAATGCAGGTGAGACTCAAGGTGAGTGCAAGCTTAAAGTGGTACTATGATCAGATTTTTAACCCTTCACATGATGTTTTAGGTGTATCACATAGAATTCCCCGANTTTGAAAAATGTGTAAAATATGCACACGAGATGACTGATGACGTCATGCACTCAACCCGATATTATTTAAGAAATAGAAAACATGTACCGTGTTTCTATTGAGTTTTAGTAGAATTCTACTAGTATACTAATGCAAATGCTGTAATCTGATTGGCTGAGCCATTGAACACTATCAATGGCAGGATTTCTATCACGCATAAAAATCGAGAGCGAATAATCTGATTGTTTTAGTATAAATCTACTAGTCGTTCAAAACTTTCATGTAAATCCTCTTCACAGACACTTCGAAAACACAAAGAAGCGGCCCCCAGAGCACGCTGCTACGCTACTCACTATCTATCACAGAACAGAACGTGAGTAGCGTAGCCAATCACAGGACGGCATTCGTGATAGAACACTAGTAGATTTATACTAAAACTCGATAGAAACACGAAGAACATGTTTTCTATTTCTTTTAGAAAACACCGCGACGAAAAAAGGAAAACAGCTTGTTAACTTTGATTAGCGTGCGCTGGGGGAGGGGGGGGGGCGCTTCTTTGTGTTTTCGAAGTGTCAGTTAAGAGGATTTAGATGAAAGTTTTGAACGACTAGTGGATTTATAATAAAACAATTAGATTATTCGCTCTCGATTTCTATCACGCGATAGAAATCGAGAGCGACTTATCTGATTGTTTAATAAAAACACGATTTTTAACCAATTAGCGCGCGTAATTTTTTAGGACTGTTTTCTAAATGTAATTAGTAGAATTCTGCTAGCATACTAATGCAAATGCTGCAAACTGATTGGCTGAACTACTCGTATACCATCCGCCATCAGAGTGCAGTGGCTGTCGATCATGCACAAAATGCGACGTTTTTATCGTTTTTCCGAAGTTTTGGAAGAAAGTTTAGATTTAAATGGGTAATTAAATTCCTGAGAAGACTAAAAGAAGGACATTGGTGGTTTCTTGACTTTAAAAACTTGAAATTATTGAAAAAACGGGTGCGCGCGCGTAAACAACTACAAATTTACCAAGAACAATTCAATGCGTGCGATTTTCTTAAAGTGTAAAGTTCAATAATGCTTAGAAAAATAATTGGAAACCATTATTTGTGTTAATTTTAGTTAGAATTCTACTAAAACAAGTAGATTATTCGCTCTCGATTTCTATGAGGTGATAGCTGATTCGGCCTTCGGCCTCACCAGCTATCACCTCATAGAAATCGAGAGCGAATAATCTAATTGTTAATTAGTATAAATCTACTAGCGTTCTAACACGAATGTCGT